ACATTATTAAAAATATTGTTGTTAAAAAATAAATTTAAAAACAACGAATCAGTTTTCCGAATAAGTTTTCTATCTACCAGTTTCAATTTTAAATAATTCTTTCAAAAAATGAAGCACAATTGAACATACATATGTTACACAAAATAAGGCTTATGCTATAGTCGTCACGACACATTTATCTCCGTCAAGAAAATATCGAGCTCGTAAATTTTAACTTTTTACAAGCTTATAATCCTCTGAAGAGGACACGATACTACTTGTTTATTTTTTGCAAATAAACGATGAAAATATGCTAAATTAGAAATAAAGAGATTTTAGCGTAATTTTTTCTTAGAAAATTTTATTGTTCCGCAAATGTTTACGTTCAAAAGCGACAAATCACAGACCAAACAGAATATTTATTCGATACACTCTTTAACATGATGAAAGCTTAAAGCAAAATTAATGCTATTATTAACAATTCCCCGTGCACGAAAAACTGTATATTACGGGAAATTATAAATATTACATGTAAAGATACTGAAAATTATAATGAAATTAATTCAAAAATTATTTATTGCGAATTAAACAACAAAAAGTATATCTAAAGTAAATATAGACCAACTATGTTTTTAAATACACACATAAACATAGTTTAAAATATCACTAGATAATTAATGTTAAACAAATGATTTTTACAGTAAATAAATAATAAATATTTAAATATTTTATGGCGAACACCTATTTTTATCTCAATATAATATTTTAATAATAATAATATGATATTTTAATAATATAATATTGTACTAATATAATATTTTAGAAATAAGAAGGATGCTGTTTATTGATTAGAAAACGTTCGCATCTGCATATTGATACAATTGATAATTTCAAACATTGATAATACACTAAATATGTAGTATCATTAAGTCAATTTACATGGGACCAACATATATAAAAAAAAAAAAAAATGGATACATCGTCGGAGTCAGGAAATATTCAAAATAAATATGTATATTTATCTGCAACACCTACAATGACAACATTATTCAAAGAGTTTACAGATTTGTACATTTTATGCTATAAAAAAAGAATTTAACAATTAGAATATTAGCAACATAAAGACAAAACTATTTTGAAATTTATGTCCCAATTGATTTAAGAAAATACTAACCAAAAAAGTGTATGTAACAAAAGTAAGCCATTTTTGTACGAATATTTTTTCTATTCGAAACTTATTATATAAACAAATGTTAATTTAAGTAACCTACTTGCAGGAAGAAGGATAACTTTAAGAAATGGGAAATTTGTACAAAAATAAGCATTTAAAAGGATAAAGGTGAACGTACCTTCCATACTCGTTCTCGAAGCGTCTCCTACGTGTGCATACAGTTACAGCTGCACGGTGTAGATTCAAATTTTAAGGAATCTCAGAAATGCTATTCACCAATAGAGTTATCACTTTCAAAGGCTATCACTACCTGACTTCACTTATTTTACATTTGCAACAGAATTTGCGAAGGAATTCCGATTCCGTAAATATATCTTAGCGTCTCAAACAGGCTAACTCCACCATTGGCATTATTGGTTCTTAGAATTGACACAAGGCGGCGCTCAAAATAGGTATGTACATAGCAGAATTGTCTTCAATATTTAAATCGAGAATTTCACTCATTTAATACTACGATGAGATTTGAAACATAAAATTTATTTTAAGAAATAAAATTGTACAATAATAAATGGATGACATACAATTTATATACTACGTGCATATGTATATTCATAGTGATATACTCGTTATAAACTATCGATATTTATCAATACATATTCATGTCTGATCCCCTAAAAATATTAATATTTACAATTTATACACTTGCTTAAAACTAAGAAGATGATTATATTACATTATTACCACTATATTATCAACAATACTAAACATTTATATTAAAATTCATGATTAACATGTATATATATATTAACATGTATATATATATTAAAATGTACGTATGCCTTTAATGTTAAATTATATTTCTTAATTTCTTGTTAAAATCACAGTACACATTTTTAAAATTTCTCAAAGGAATCAAATACATAATACGTAACTAAGTTTCGATGAGTTTAGGAATACTGGATATGTATTTATCTTTTTACTTTCCTTCGATGATGGAACATCACTGCTTTAGACATAAATACATAGTAAGATCATTCGTTAGCTTCATTTTGGCATTTTTTAGTGGAATATTCCTAAATTCATAAACATTTTAATCAATTTTAACCAAATTATTACGAGAAAATGATCTTTAGCGCCATCTGTTAATGTAATGAACAAGATCTCGCTGAAACTACTTTCTGGTAAGATAAAATTTGAAATACAATTTCTCGTAAGAATTATAAATAAAAAATCTTATCAATATTAAACTTTATTATTAACATATGTAAAAGTCAATTATTACATGATATTAGTATTTATTTATATGTTCATGTTGGCTGAAGACGAAATAACAAGTAAGTTAATCTTATTATTTAATTACTTTACTTATTTGAAAATCACAATCGTTAGATGTATGTTTAGTAGACGGTAAAAGAGAAGCTCTCCATTTTCTTTTTAACTATACTTGTGTTACTTGTGTCACCGTATGATTTGTGCCTGTATTTCCATTATTTTCCATACAAATATGTTTTCCAATGTTCCTAGGGATTTTCCAACTTTTACAGAAAAGTTTCTTGAACGTTTTTCTGAATTGTCTGCTCATAGTGCAATATAGTATGAAGTTTATGGCTGAATTTACCAGCGTTAACATGTCAATAATATCACCTGAAAATTGATAAAGTTTTTTTAATATTTATTACAGTATTAGCAAATTTTGATTTCTTATATTACAAAAATGTATTTATATGTAATAAATACGTGTATATTTATTATGTAATAATATATAAAATAATAATAAATGAATAAATAAATATTCATATATATATATATACACAAATGTAAAGAATTTTTTTTGAAAATTTCTGACAAATAAACACGTACTTATTCATTTATTTATTATTATTTTGTATATGTATATATATAAATATATAAATACATATATATATATATGTATATACAAATACACATCATTATAATAATATATGTAATACTTCCCAAGGTTGTACATAAAAAAAAATTTTATACATATATTTTATAAAATATACAGAATAAACACAAAAATTTTTGAGTATTAATAAATTAATAGCAATGAAATAAAACTTCGCAATTTTCAATTTCACATATATGCGAAATGAGTTGCAAGTGACGATAACTTTATTTTGTAAAGACGGAAAACCAATTTTGACAAAAATTTTTTTTTCGATTATATTACGTATATTTCTTGTTTTACTATATTTCTTATGTTTTCTATTTTTCCATTAAATATAATATTGATAGGAAAGTTAATGACTACAAAGTGTAAAATATCAAACAAATGTAAAAGAATCGAATATCGCAAATCTGAATTTTGATAATTTTGTATAATCTTTATTCAATTGCAAACTATATTCCTTACTATGTATATAGTTAATTACAATTTATAGAAGTAATCTTTCGTTTTGTACATGTATTTATTATATACTTTTATACATGTGTCTTCAAAATACATTTACAGTATAAAATAAATATTATTCAGTTTCTGCTTGCACTCTACATTTTGCAGATAAAAACAAGTTATATAACAAATTTCTTGTACCAAACTTTTAATTTGTTGCCTAATTGTTAAGCAAGTTAAGGGATATCTTTGTTACAAATAAAGCTGAAGTAGCTACTTTTCGCAAGAGATCGTAACGGAAAATTTGTCAATAAAGTTTTTTAAATACATCAGCATATTGTATTTCAAAGTGTAAGTGTTTTCTTTGTAAATAGAACTTTCCAATCTTTTTTCTAGAACTTGTCAACAATGTGAAATCTCCATTCTTTGATCTCTGCTGACAGCGGAGGCATAACTAAATTATTTAATTCCTAAAATTGTATACATTTACAGAATTATTTTGAATATATGATTTTTATGGATTCTTTTGAATATCAATCATTTTTTTTAAATCATATTATTAAACGAATGAAAGTTAACGAAAGGATAAAAGATATTCTAGTCTGTGATATAATAAAATATGCTTAAAAATGATAATTAAATAATTTAAATTTCTATTAATTATATTGGAAATTAAGATTATTATAGAAACATTGATGTGCTATAAATTTATGTTACGACCAGATTTCTTCAGCTGGACTAACAATTATGGTTAATGTAGATGATAATTTTATCCAGAATATCATGCGTATCAAATATACTCGGCATTTTACATATTGGATTATAGGCTATTTGTTTAAATTAACACATTATTATTAATTTTTAATACAAAATAATAAATGCTTTCAAAATTTACCTCAGTCCATTTAATTTATTCGTCGCGTATTCAGATGTTGCGATACATAATTTTATTAAATTTATCAAAACATCAAATATCTCAGTAATAATTAATTGCTTAATAAATAATTTTAATAAAATATTCAGAAAGTATTCATAAATATTTATCGTAATTGACATTCATAAAATGTTGTAAATCGTCATTAAATGTTTTACAATACATTTTTCAAAATGTATAACACTTCTATAATGATTACACAATGATGGAAAAAGAACTAGATTAAAATTATATGTATAATTTACACGTTTGGGATTTAAACTTGAATTGAATGAATATGAAACTAACTTTATTGAATATGAAGCAACTGATATATATACAATATTCAGCATATTAATATAATGTAATTTGATTCTAAATGTAATTATTCATTGAGAGAGAGAGAGAGAGAGAGAGAGA